ATTCCATGACAATGTCAAAATGAACAATGAATCTTCTGTTTTAATATGAATACCATCATGATGACATTCAAGTTATAAAATGACATTTTAAATCATTTTTCCATATTTGAGGGGGTGGTGGAGTCACAAAAGGCAAGCACAAGGAGTGATAGGAGCAAGTCGATGTATAATCCGGTGGCACCAGTGGATGGGGCCGTGACGCTGGCAACCGGCGTCAACGAAGATGGCGGCGCCGGTGACTGGAGGCAACAGATCATGTCTAAGGCTTTCTTGTTGTTGTTGTAGTTGGCGACGTCTACATCTTACCGGATGTACCGGCCCCACCAACCGCATCATGTTCTTCCTATAACTAATGTTTTCTTCACTAGACATTCTGTTTCATAATGTTACTACATATTTCTTTTTGCATGTATAGTGATGTTTGGGGTCACCTTACTTCATCACGCTTCTATGTCTCTTAATATTGGTCTCGTGCTTTTCTTACTATAGTTGATCTTATTAATAGACAATCTACAACATCTTCTAGTTTTTTCATTCCATACGAGAAACTTTTTCACCGACACCCACATTACACTGAACTTACTATTTTTGGGTGTCAGCTCTTTTCTTGGTTATCCCCATATACAACTCATAAGTTATAACTTATGTTTATTCCTTGTATTTTCAGAAATTGCCCTAAATAGGAGTAAAAACGTTTTGAAATTCCAAAATAGGAGTATCATATTTTTTATTTCTTGAATAGGAGTAATTTGCCGAGTTTGGAAAAAATGTCATGTTTAAAGCCTTGTAATGTCAAACTTGGCAAGAATTTACTCCTATTCGGGGAATAAAAAACATGATACTCCTGTTTTGGAATTTCAAAACGTTTTTACTCCTATTTAGCGAATTCTCTCTTGTTATTTTAGGGTATTGTGACCAACAAACTGCCCATTCTTGTCAAGTTCCTACTACTAAATGATCTTTGTTAGCAGTTACGTAATTTTCAATGAACTCGTCTTTCCATTCTCAACCAGTCACAAACTCACCCTGAGATTGGTGACTAGCTCTATATACCAATTTATTTTATTCACATTACATGTAACAGAATGGTGAAATGCTATGACAATAAAATTTGATGTCATGATTAAACTAGGCACTTGGGATCTAGTTCCTTCTACATCTCGCAAAAAAAAAACATGCGGTTGTAAGTAGGTTTTATAGGATGAAATATAAACTTGATAGTTCCTTATATCGCTTTAAAGCTCATTTGGTGGCTAGAGGCCTTCATCAACGACTATGAATTGATTATTCTCACACCATTATATGTGTTAATAAACCAGTCATTATTAGAGTTATTTGAGTATTGCCCTCTCTCATACCTGGCCGATCAATCACTTGGATGTAAACAATGCATTCTTACATGGGGCTCTTCAAGAGGAAGTATACATGAAGCAATACCTCAGGTTCAATGACGGTTTTGGTTTTGTGTGGCATTTTCGAAAATTCATTTATGGTTAAATGAAAACCGGAGCCTCGAGTGTGCTACCAACCTATCATTAAATTCCTTCTCTCACTTGATTTCTCTCGATCTATTTTCGATGCTAGTCTATTTATATTTTCTTTTCACTAAGCTTATGTTTATGTGTTGATTTATGTGGATGACATTATTGTCATTGGTTCCACACCTGTGTTGGTGCGTTGGGCTATTGATTCTTTGGCACTCAAATTCTCTATTAAGGACTTAAGGTCTTCACCTTATTTTTTAGGCATGCCGGTTACACCTACACATGATGGGTTTTTTCTTAATCAATAAATACATTACAGATTTGTTACAAATATTAAAAATGAGTTGCACATATCTTGTAGCCATGCACTTAGCTTTCTCAACTTCTTTGACCCTATTCGATAGTTTGGGCTATTGTGACATTACCTTTTATCTCTAAGTGGTTGATTCGCTTTCGTACTTTATTATCAATAAAGTAGCCTGATCTGTGCACAAATCCACATTCAATCATTGGTAGCTAATGAAAAGTCATTTGCGATATTTTCAACGGACAACCTTTCAGGGACTATACCTCTGCCACAACTCTCTCCTTTCATGCGGACTCGGCAGGGGATTTGGATGACCGCTCCTCTACTTACTCGCATATGCCATTTTAGCTGAATCTTTATTTCTTAGAAATCATCCAAACAACAAACTATTGCCAAACCTAAACAAAAGGGGGCTTTGTATAACGCTTTGTCTGAAATTATTTGGATTGAATATGTCCTTTAGTCCTTGATGAGCAAATGACATGCGACATTTGTCTCATTCTCATCCGATCATCCTTTGCGATAATAAAGCATCCACCACCTCTTCCGCAAATTCAGTCTTCCATTTTTGAACGAAGCACGTTGAAATTGGTCTAATATCATATTTAGCATGGATTTCATCAAGTTCTTCATATCCCCTCTCGCGGTCAACTAGCTGACATTGTCATCAAGCCCCATCCCGATAGACAGCATGGATAAAATTTGTAACGTGTTAGTTTATATTCATAACATTATTCAATTTTTTTCTCATGTTTATAGAAGTTGCTAATCTCGCTGGTACTTTCCAAAAAAAAACCCATGTCCCTTATGTTCATTATTTTTGTGATTTCGCGAAAGAAATGTTATTAAAATATGTTGTCCACATTCCGCCTATATATGCTATTTTTTTCCTTCTTGATCTTTGTTTCAAACTTAATACTTATAAAACATTTTTAGAGTATTATTATAGTATTATTGTAGCTGTTTCTGCGGTGAGTTGCCTATGTATAGCGACAACCCTATAGACCATCAAGCGCAATTCAACAAGTTTAATAATCTATTTCAAAATTTATTTAATGAGTTTCATGCATAATATGTTAACGTAACGTACACCCTCCTTCAAAATCAATTACTCTCTCCGTCCCGCTATGATAGTCTCATTTTACCTTTTCGGTCCGTCCCACTAAGATTGTCTCATACCTTATTTGGTAAAATCTATGTGGTTCTAAAATTTATGTGGTCCGTCCCACTTTAATCTTACTTTATCAATTAAATATCAACCACATAAACTCACTTTTGTTAATAATCGTGCCACTTTCTCTTGTCCCAAACTTAAGGGGACGGAGGTAGTACTTCTTATCTAAAGAAAAAGGTCTTTTAAAATCTACAATATCCCATCCTATGGGGGAAGTAAATCTACATCTGCCGATGCACAAAGCTCGATTAACAAGATTTCTTTATTTATATCTAGTGTCCAATCTTTTGAGACACTCATTTGCTTTCATCATTGGTTCAAGACTCGCAATATAACTCAAGAAGTTAACATAAGATCGCTCTGCCACTTCATAAAGGAAACACCAACTGACGCGGGAAGCGGGAATTCCGAAGAATAGGACATGTATCATGTATGTAGTGTAACTATTTTCAAGTATAATCTGCAAATGTCTTAGTCAATGTAATGTTTCAACTAAATCTACATTTCATTTTTAATGTGTATTATTTTTTTATTTATATTAGTAATATAAATATATAATACTCCGTAAATTAAAACAAACAAAAAATGGCTCAGGACCACTGGACCAGACCCAGGACCCATGTTATCAGGGTCACTTTCAAGCCTCCATATCTTAGATTTTAGAACTAGGACCAGGACCGGACCACCTCTACAACAAATGAAGCAGGAAGGAAGTGTTGCAAATCCAACAAGAAATGTTCCAAATTCAAAAGTAAGTGTACCAAATTCAAAATAAAGTGTTCCAAAAATTTAAAATGTATAGCATTTTTTATCGACCCCTTCTAGTGTCTATCAAACCAAGCGGGAAATTTCCTATGTATCAAACTATAGGCATTTCATTGATTCATCAGAGTACACAAATTTCATCAAGTACCTTATAATCTGATGACATCAATGTGACACTTCCAAAGAGATGATCACATATTCGAACCACATCCCACAAATACGTTGGCCTTACCATAGAACAAATACTATAATATGTTAGGAAGCTTTGCCAAAAAAAAATTAAACACACTCCTTTCCGATGTATCAAGAAAAGAGTGAACAAATCATTACTCCTTAACAAATATAATTTTTCAGTACGTAATTCGAGCTCCAATTCAACACAATACAATGAAATTATTTAACATCTCATTTCCTTTCTCTACATTCTTCCCAAAATCATACATAAACAATGTCTTTTACTTTGTTCACAACATTTATCTTAGTAAAATAACACTGCACACAGTGCACTACTGCACTACATCCAACTTGAAAAAATGATGGTTTAACGCGTTAGAGCTCTGTTTTTGGTTGAAAGTTACTTTATAGTTCAATTAAAATTAGCTTCTTTTGCTAAAATGGGACTTTAAAGGACAAGAAACTTCAGAATGGAGTTGTGCTTGTTTTATGTCATCGTTAGTCGTTCGAGATCATAGTTGTATATGGGTCTATACATGATAGGAATACAACTGAAATAAATAAAGAGGATAAATACTTATATGATATAATATTTAGGGAGTGTTTGCAACTGCTTCTGCTTAAAAACAAGCACTTTTGGAGATGTAATGAAAAAGTGATTAGTAGTAAAAGTTGATAGTGTTTGAGAAAAAAATGATTTTGAAAAGTAAAAGTTGGTAGTGTTTGGTAAAATAAGTGTTTTTTGTGTAATAGAAAAGGGAAAAGCACTTTTCACACGCAAGCCGAGAAAAAGTAAAAATTGGAAGTGTTTGGTAAATAAGTGCTTTTTTAGCCAAAAGCTGAGAAGTGCTTTTTTTTAAGCTATTGCAAACACTCCCTTAGTAAATAGAATAGTAGTGGGTAGTAGTTCGGTTATTGCTATTAACTAATTAGCTTGTACTGAATAGCTATAAATAGTAGAAGGTTAGAAGTAAAGGGAGGGGTTTTGGACTATTGAGTCTTGACTGGGAAGATTGAGAATTATCTCTCTTTGGGGGCTTCAGCCAGGGGCTTCGGCCAGGGGCTTCGGCCATTGTTACTGCTCTTTTTCATCAATAAAGTTTCCAGTTCTTGTTCTTGATATTTCTTTGATAGTTTTCTGTAAATCTTCTCAATACCTAGATAGTTCTATCAATACACCAAGCTTTGACAGAAATCCCAGAATGGAATTACGCTTGCTCTTCTGACAAAATAATAACATTCTTACAATCTTTGATGCAACTAACCTTCCCTGCTATCTCTACCTCAACACCCATGGAAGTCACACACTGTTAAGTTGTGCTAAACCCATGCAAAAACCTGCTCAAAACAATTTATATTTTCCAGTACTATCTATCAAAACATATCCATTAGTATGTAGCTCAAAATATACATCACCCCAAAGTTGATGAGGTCAACTCTGTGAAATATGGGGCATGCCTAACTGGAAATCCTTCTCGGGTTTCTTTTCCCATCGATAGTTGGCGGCTTCAATCCACTTCGGGTGGACTAGAAATTTCTTATGTTGCTTTGCCCAGCGCGACTTGTCAGTCCCAGCATCCGTTGAGACCACATGTGTCACAGATTCGTCGACTTTTGTTGCACATGTAGCTCCAAGCTGCTCAGCCATTCTCCATAGTTGATGCTTTTCTGCCTGGATGTTATTTGGAAAAACCCGACTGAAAACGACTTTGCAACCTTTCAATACTTCTTTTCGGACTTCTTTTAGCACCTGCCATGACCATAAGTAAATAAAAGGGCTCGTTATCTAAAACGGGAGAAGTAGAAAAACCATCACCACAGTGACATAAGCAAAAGTCGAGCAAGTGAATTCTATACTATAAAAGTAAAGAATTGTGAAGAACAAGTTCAAAAGTTGTGCAGAAACAGGTTTCAGGTCCAGTTGCCATAGCCATTCGGGGCACCAATTAATAAAAGAAGAATGCACATGCAATGGATTTCCGTGTCTTATATACATACGAAAGTAGAGTAGCATAAAGTAAACATAGTTGCTACACCCAGACTCTTTACCTCTCTAACATCACCCTTGCGCATATTGTCTCCTTGGTCCTTGAAAAAGGAAGACGTCCAAACCAGTGTTAGTGAATAAAGCTCAAACCATAAAAGTAACATTAAAGATAATAATGTCATTCTATTTCCTATTTAGGCTACCTGGTCAAAGAAAATTGTGTGGATTTGTTTAAGAATTTTAAGAATGGTGACAAGTGCTCCTTCCTCTTCACTTTCATCAACCTTACGTTGTGAATGCGATTCACAATTGAAGCCAAATTGCTTGCAGCTTGAAGCAAAAAAATGATATCTTTCCACAACTATTAAATTTTCCCTGTGCTTTCCCCATACCTGTAACAAGAACAAGTTGATTACTCTTGTTTGGTCATAACTCGTAACAAAATATTATGGGCATGGAAGTTATCAAGATGGATATTATTACCAGCACCTTAGTGCCACAACTAGTTGAGGTCAGGGTAATTAGTACATCTTATCGTTCAATTGTATAACATTAGACATTAGTTAGCATATGCAAAGTAACCACTGTAAGGATCATATACTTACTACTGTCTGAGACACTTTTATTCCCCAAACTCATTAAAAGGAAAATGACGCAAAAATGAGAGACAATAAAAGATTCTAGTGTGATTCCGAAATCTGAAATACAACCTAAAGAAAGAGAATATAATGTAAGAATGATATCCAACTATAAAATTATAGACACCACCACCTGGACTTCCTGCTCCTGATAACTATTCTGTTTTTAGCTTCAACCCGGGATAAAAGGAGTAAACTTATAGAGTCATAACATTACAAGGACATGCTTAACCATTTCAAAAAATATGCTATGAATTACCGCCTCAGTATCATCAAGGATCAGGACAGAATTTTCTTGCCCTAAAACAATATCTAGTCCCTTTTGATGTCTCTGAGTTGAATCTCCCTGTGCTATAACTTTTGACTGGAAGTACACACCTCTAGGATCCAGCAACTTTGCCATTTCAAGTGCATAAGGACGTTCACCCATTGTATAAATGTACATTTCGAATAAATCACTGGCTTCTTTCAGAAACTTGTGCACATATGGCCTCAACTTTGTCATCATGTGAATCATGTCTAACCTGAAAAGACTGCTTTGCAGAGCATCTGCTCGTACCAGGATGAAATTTACTTAGTCAAATCTTCATATTGGATCATACAAAAGTAATATAATTTGCCAAAAGATAAAATATCTTATTGTCTATAAGAGATTGAGAAGTGGGGAAGGTAAGAGGATACAAGATCATCATTTATTTACATAGTCTAGGGAGTCAACTTTGCGATATCAAATATGTAGACCAAAACTACAGCAATTATCTCAACCTGTTGATGTCTCGTGATTTTATCAATGCAAGGGAGGGGGAGTTTTACGAAGATGAAGATCTTGGAATTTCATCTCATCATTCCTTCTTCAGAATGTTGTGACCGGAAAGGCATTCATCATTAAACTCATGTACTTTTACTTAATTTTAAAAAATTAACTGACACAATAAATTCATCCCAACGGCCCCAATAAAGTTGGGATTAAGGCGGTGATGATGAGTCCAGCGACCTGTTTGGTTTAGGTGAAAAGAGAGCATGACAATTAACCCCCTACACCCCACCTTTGGCATATTTTGCATTTGAGATTTAGTTTGTGGATACATGCTCTAAAATAAACACATCGAGGATTTATAAATAATTCCCGCAATAAACAACTTCAACCAAAAAAGTCCTATGACATATGAAGTCCAATAGTTGTCCTTTAGACCAGTTCTTGTTTCATAAAACTGATGGTGCATACATTTTTCAACATAGTCTATTGTAATCTTTTCTCCAACTTATTTGCTCATCTTTTATATGAAAAGCAGGAATAGTTTTTGCTTACGCTGTGCAAGATGCTACGTTGAAAATTAAAAACACTTACGCAAGTTATATGAACAAGATATGCAGAAATAGATATGCACACAAAAATGGAATAGAGAGAAATGGAAATGAGGGCGCACCGGGAGGGGCATCTTTTAGGTACTCTTCTTCAGGCGAAATATCTGAGAGCCTAGTTGAATTTAGTAGTGTGTGATCCAAATCAAGAACCAAATAAAGTTTTTTATGCTGAAGCAGGTTCTTCAAGTCTTTTTCACGGAGTCTGGCAACCTCATCAGAAGTGAGCCTTAAATTCTGCAGAGAAGTCATATTAAAATCAGCTCACTCTACTTCAAAAGCATGTGCTGAAGTAGATGTATTTGGTTCACCAGATAAAAATAGCCTTAGCCTGAGATATATGTAGTATATGCTTTTTGTTGGAATCTACTGTTGTTAACTGGGACCATGGCAAATGGCATAAACAAATTTTCTGTAAGCTGCAACTGGCAGTTTCCGAAGCACCAAATGCCACGGTGGCCCCTTAGGCCACATGTCCACAACCCTATGTATGTGTTGTGGAATTTTCTCCATCAGCCATTAACCACCATCCAACATTGATAACAGAGTTCGGCTTAGACATGATATCTATGAAGGCCATATTAAACTTCACTAAAGCTTGACAACTTATCAGAGATGAATTCACTACATATGCATGCACACTGGTAAATTATATGACAAAACAAAAGTCAACCAATAACTAAGCTATCGGACTAGAATAATATCCAGTAAATACCTTATGGATGTAACCAAATGAAACACCAGATTCATTGTCCATTAACTGCCCACACCGTATACACATTCCACCTATCACACCAGGATGTATACATAAATCTATCTTAACTGAAACACCTGCAATAGTTGAAATATAAGGCAAAAGTATCATCCAGGCATCCAGCAAACAGAAACACAGTGTACTGGTGTTAAGGGGATTATATAACAGTTTAACAATTCCGCATTACCAAATAATTAGACTAGATATATCGAAAGGGTACTAGGATATTCACACACCAGCTGGAATGGGGCTCACCCACTCATATGCATACTTCCTTTACCATTACGGCTTTACCTTTTTATACTGCTTCTGTCGGTGAAATTGTTTAGCTGAGATTTTATACTGTTTTTAGTTGGAGACTCAGAGGAATGGAGATTTTATATAAATGGTACAATTTGTTCTTCGAAATGAAATATAAGATAAAAAATAAATAACTAGAACTTGTATGGACAGCCCAAAAAAGAGAGGAGAAATTTTTTGGGAAAGAGGGAGTGTGTATGTGTGCGTTTGAAAGTCTAATGGTCCTACAACATAGTTTGATTCAAGAAAAAGTAACCAACCCAGAGTGCCTCCAGATTCTTCACAAGATTTTGAGCACTCTTTATCCCCTGTGCCTTTGCAGTTTTCCAACTTGCGCCTCTTTACTCTGCATTAAACAAATATTGAAAAATCTTCAGTCAAATCCTCAAAGCTTATCTGGCAGTCATTAGAAGAGGAAGAATAAGTGACCCACATGTGCTCGAGATGAGGATAACGTCTAGCGCATAGGGATAAGGACAGTTCAATTAACCGCAACAATTCATTATTACAAGCATATCAGTAGTGTGCTTGTGCTCGCATCAGATACTCGTGTAGTTACCCTTTTAAGGCCGTAGATAGACAGAATATGTTTTTCTATAAATGTTTGGCTATTATTCCCTTAGAAGTTGGAAAATATACTAAAAATAAAAAATAACTCAGTTGGAGGCACATTAATCATACAGATGCAGATAAATGTAGAATTGATGAGAAGGACGATTGATGGGCTTGTAGGATTCAACAGACCAGAACCCTTGATAATTTCTGAAATTCGGAATACAGAATGAGTTTTATTTTATTGTGTTAAAACTCGGGGTTCCATCCTAAAAGGTCAACCTGATAGGAGGAGGAACCTGAAGTGTTAAATAGTGTTTTATAGCTTTCCGGTGTGAGACAAATATTTTAACACGCTCCATCAGCCTGAACCGGGTTGGACAATATCGGAATGTATAATTGGACCAAAAAGACCCTTAACAAGCTACCCGTAATCTAGGGTGCTAAACAAGCGGTCAAACCACAGCCGGAATTGGCTCTGATACCATGTTAAAATCCGGGGTTTCATCCTAAAAGATCAACCTGATACGAGGAGTAGCATGAAGCCTTATATAATGTTTTATTGTTTTATAGCTTTCCGGTGTTGGACAAATACTTTAACACATTCATGTAACAAAACATGAGAAGCTACAGATATATTTCATTTTCGATCGCCCAATGAACATCATTATTAGGGTTTCAAAACTCTATAAGTTAATCTCACCCTAAGCACTATTGCTTCATATTCTCTAGGAATTAGATTTGGCATCTTATCTACTTCAATTCAACCCCACATGTAACAAATAACTTACATCTAACAAAATTACAGCTTGTCCAGGGTTGAGCCCTGGGATTGACGGCAGGCCGAGGATAGACAATGCTCCTCCCGAATACAGCTTAGGTAAGTGTCAATTCAATTTCATGAATTCAGAAGCGTGTTTCCAACATTTTTAAACTGAAAAAACAACCGAATGAGAGAGGGAGAGAGCAAACAGTACCTATTAGCATCTGAAATGTCGTTACAGTCACCATCTTCTCCCAGGTCATTGTTTTCATCTTGTTTGCCATCATCTCTCTCCTCTTGATCTGCTTCCTCTTCTTCCAGATCATCTGAGTCTAACTCTGCATCTAAGAAGGCTGCAAAATCATCACTGCTAGAAGAGTGTGCAGGAGATTCCGCCGTCAAACTCATCCAGTGGTGGATCTAAGCCTTGTGTTTGAGCGTTTGAAACTAAAGTTAAATTAAAACAAAACATATCAAAATAATGTTGGGATAAAACTTTATTTAACAAATCATTCCTATCAAAAAATAATTCAGCAAAAAACTACTGGGATATATCACACCAACAAATAATTAAAGCAAGAAACCCTACTGCCACACACCCACACAAATAAATTGAACCAAACATTCAACAAAATATACTACCACAACCGATTTTTACTGATTTACAGATGAGAGTCGATACATTCAAGCACACTTAGGGTATAAAATACACCTATAATAGAAAGGAAAATTAGGCATTAGGTAGCACCGCAACAGTGGGAATTGAGGTTTGGGAATTGGGCAATTACAAATGTATCTACGAAATTGAGATTTGGTTTACATAACTTAATTTCTAATTTTCTGAATGAAGAGGCGTGGTAACCAGGAGGCAAGAGTGGAGGGCTGGACTGCTGGAGGTGGTGCACCTCCAGGCCGGTGCCACGATGGAGTCTGGAGCGATTCGCGACTGCCAACAACAACTCTGCAACCGTCAGTCAGGAACGCTGTGTGCCCAAGGTCATTGCGAGGCTGCGATAGCCAACAGAGCCACCGAGGGAGAAAGGAATGTGGGTGGGCGGTGGGCGGCAGTGGCGGATCTAGCCCATACGTTTTGGGTGTTCAAAACCAAATTAAAATTAAAATTATCACAACAGCCATGCCTAATGCAATAACTCAGCAATTGTATCTTTGTCGATCAAAGTAGTACTACATTGAAAAGTAAAACATACTCCATAATATATTAATAAAGTATAAGAAAACTACATCAGCTGATTTTCCAATACTGTTTAAATAACTAGTACTCATAGAGTCATACTCATTGATAATTACATTAAAATTGATGAACTTCCGTCAATGAATCCTTCCAACACTGCCCACTGGCTACTGAGGTACTGCACTACTGTCTACTGCCAAAGTCCCAGTTCAATAATCAATACTTCGTGTATTGATACTACTGGGGTAAGGAGTATATGCATATCAATACTCAATTCTCCGTGTATCACTATATGATTCCTCAAAAATTAAAAATGCACATACAAATTACAATTGATTCAACCAGAAAACCAATTTTGAAAAACTAGTCAGAATTACATAAAAACAACCTGCACAGCGGAGCCGCCTAGCCTGTAGGAGTGGCGACTGGCGAGTGTGTGGCTGAGTGAGAAGCGCCGGTAACGTGGAGCGGTGGAGGCGTGGTCGCGTAGAGCACTGGAGGTCTGTTGGTCTGGCCGTCTGGAGCGTGGCTGCGTGACAATCTGTCGGACGGGAGACGGCAGGAAAGTGGAGGTCTGGAATCGCGGTGGAGAATCTGGAGCCCTCGAGGTCTGGACTCTGATCTCTGGAGGAGGAGGAGAAGGACAACCGATTATTTAGAGCATCTCCAATGGAGTAGTGGGAGTAAAGTCTATCTGCACAGGAGAGAGATAGAGATAGGATGATTATTTTAATTTAATATGGAGAAAGTGGTGTGTATGGAAAAATGAAAAGGAAGAGAGAGATAGGAGTAAATTGGAGACAATGTCTATGACAATGTCCACAAATAGACATTACACGGGAATCGAGGAGCAAAAGTGGATGAAAAGTGGGTTAGAAGTGATATAAAAAAATGAAAATGAAAATAAATAAGGAGATATGTAGGTCTTAGAGCATCTCCAATGGGGTAGTGGATTGGAGTAAAGTCTATCCTACGTGGCATAGGAGAGAGATAGAGATAGAATGATTATTTTAATTTAATATGGAGAAAGTGGTGTGTATGAAAAATGAAAAGGAAGAGAGAGATAGGAGTAAATTGTAGACAATGTGTATGACAATGTCCACAAATAGACTTTACACGGGAATCGAGGAGTAAAAGTGGATGAAAAGTGGGTTAAAAGTGATATAGAAAAATGAAAAACAAAATAAATGTGGAGATATGTAGGTCCTACACATAAAATTTGTGAGATAAAAAATGGGACCCGTGTGTAAGAATGTGGAAGAGAGTAGACATCCCCATTGGAGATGCTCTTAGAGGACTGGACTACTGGATTCAGGGAGACAAGGACTTGAATCTGAAGAGCAAGCCGCGCAGAGGAGTCATTAAAGTAAGAAAATACTCAAAAAAAAATTAGATCAAAACGTTACACGTTTAATTTGTTTGGTTGAATTATACCAAGTACTACAAATTTGATGATTTACTTCAATGCTCTTTAAACATTTTTTCTTACCACAATAAATTTATTACAATCTCAATTTAAAGTAACTTAAATTAAAAAAATGAAATACCTTAACTATAAATAAAATCAAAACTAAATGAATTGTGATTAATTGTGCTGACAAAGAAGCATTGTGAATCTTACATCCAAAGAGAAAGATTAGTGAACATTAATAAATAATTCCGTTTAAGTAGATGCATAATGACATACATTAATATTAATAAATAAAGATGAATATATCATAATCAAAACAACTGTAGAAAAGAAACATGTGAATGAAGCTCTGCTTAATTTTGGTATTCTCTTCGTAGATATCTAACGAGTGAACTAAATTCTTAAAAATAATAGGCACAATAATAAGAAAAGCATATTTAAGTCTACTTATTGATTTAAAGAAAAATTAGAATGTTGAAGAAAAATCCGAGGAATGGCACGATGTGTTGAAAAAATGGAGCGAAAATTAAAATTGATCAAAAAGCAAATTAAAGAATAATCAGAAGAATATTAAAGAAGATTAAAGATTAAATATACACTAGAAATAAAAAACGTATAACGAGTGAAAAATTTAGAGGGAGCAATTACCTGATTTAGGAGATTTAGGCAGAATTGATTGGATAGAAGACCTAAATAGGATTGAAGAGCTATTGTAGAATGCTAATTAAATTAGCATGAGTAATTTTTGAACTAAAATTATAATCAAGGAGGGGTGATGTATTGATGTAAGATAATCTAATAGGTATATGGATTTGGCATTCCTAGGCATGACACACTATTATTTTCTATTTGGGAATGTAACATTCCGATAAAAATCTCAAACTCGTGAATCAAGTGTGGACATCTCACATTCCGGACATTAGAATCTGTCATGCATAGATGATTACCCCAGACCAATCGTGCCCTGAGTGGAAAACCAAATGACCGATTCAGTCGTCTTTATCGTGTTGGAGTTTGTTAGAAAAATCTTTTGGGACTAAGGCTTGGTTGTTGTTGTTGTAGACGAATTATGTCGTGGAAATGATGCACTGATTGAATTTCATTCTTTGTTTTGTCCCTTCAAGTACTGATAGACAGGAGCATTTTTGTTACTAGGTATGAATAATGGCGATGTCTACATCTTACCGGATGTACCGGTCCCACCAACCGCGTCATGTTCTTCCTATCACTAATTTTTTTCTTCACTAGACATTCTGTTTCATGATGTTGCCATATATTTCTATCTGCATGTATTGTGCTAGTAATATTCACTTTAAAGTTTTGGCCCTCTTGACTTAGTTTATAGTGATGTTTGGGGTCACCTTACTTCATCATGCTTCTATGTCTCTGAAATATTGGTCTCATGCTTTTCTTACTATATAGTTGATCTTATTAATAGAAAATCTACAACATCTTCTAATTTTTTCATTCCATACGAGAAACTTTTTCATCGACACCCACATTACACAAAACTTACTATTTTTGGGTGTCAGTTCTTTTCTAAGGTATTCCCATATACAACTCATAAGTTTTAACTTATGTTTATTCCTTGTATTTTTTAGGGTATTGTGACCAACAAACTGCCCATTCTTGTCACAATCCTACTACTAAATGATCTTCGTTAGTAGTTACGTAATTTTCAATGAACTCATCTTTCCATTCTCAACCAGTCGCAAACTTCCTCTGAGATTGGTGACTAGCTTCATATACCAATTTATTTTCTTCATAATACATGTAACAGAATGATGAAATGATGTGACAACAAAATTTGATGTCTTGATTAAACTAGGCACTTGGGATCTAGTTCCTTCTACCTCTCGTAAAAAAACATGCGGTTGTAAGTAGGTTTTAAAGGATGAAATATAAACCAGACAGTTCCTTATATCGCTTTAAAGCTCAGTTGGTGGGTATAGGCCTTCATCAACGACCATGAATTGATTATTCTCACACCCCTAGACCAGTTAATAAACCAGTCATTATTAGAGTTATTTTGACTATTGCCCTCTCTCATACCTGGCCGATCAATCAATTGGATGTATACAATGCATTCTTACATGGGGCTCTTCAAGATGAAGTATACATGAAGCAATTCCTCAGGTGCAATGACGGTTTTGGCTTTGTGTGTTATTTTTGAAAATCCATTTATGGTTAAATGAAAACAGAAACCTCGAGTGTGCTACCAAGCTGCAGTCATTAAATTCCTTCTCTCACTTGGTTTCTCTCGATCTATTTTCGATGCTAGTCTATTTATATTTTCTTTTCACTAAGCTTATGTTTATATGTTGGTTTATGTGGGTGACATTATTGTCATTGGTTCCACACATGCGTTGGTGCGTCGGGCTATTGATTTTTTGGCACTCAAAATATCTATTAAGGACTTAGGATCTTTACATTATTTTTTAGGCATGTTGGTTACACCTACACATGATGGGGTTTTTTCTTGATCAACATAAATACATTACAGATTTGTTACAAACATTGAAAATGAGTGGCACATATCTTGTAGCCATGCACTTAGCTCCCTCAACTTCTTTGACCCTATTCAATAGTTTGGGCTATTGTGACATTACCCTTTATCTCTAAGTGGTTGATTCGCTTTCGTACTTTATTGCCAATAAAGTAGCTCGATTTATGCACAAACCCACATTCAGTCATTGGCAACTAATGAATAGTCGGTTGCGATATTTTCAAGGGACTATACTTCTACCACAACTCTCTCCATTGTGTGATTATGTTTGTGCAGACTGAGCATGGGATTTAAATGACCGCTCCTCTTCTTACTAACATATGCCATTTTAGGTGAATCTTTATTTCTTAGAAATCATCCAAACAACATACTATTGCCAAATCCTAGACAAAAGAGGTGTTAGTACCCTATTTTGATATATTTTGATGATGCCACTATACCTTGCTCATGTACATTTGTGTCTTTTTTATCTTGAATGTCAGTGTCCAAAATTAATCATAAGTGACAAGTCAATGTACAATTTTTGTGATCAGTAAATCATACTGGAAATTAAAAATGAAATAAGGTAATCTTTATTTACCTTAATAGGATATTTAAATCCTACCAGTATAAATTTACTCGACATAAAAATTAACCTGGTCACACGTACTAAAAATGTCCTACAAGAAAATCAAATGTACAACTTTTGTAACAAATGAACTTATACTGGAAATCAAAAAATGCAATAAGGTAAATTTCTTTTACCTTAAAAAGGATATTCAAAATCCTACCAGCATAATTTATATGACACAAAAATTGAATGTGAAAAGGGCAAGTACGTACGAAAGCCACATTCATTGCATATGAATGATTGAAGACAAAACTTGATAGGCAGTTAATGCTAAAACAAGTACACGGGGCCTAGAACGTGGGACATATACAACAAATCGCCAAATGATCTTGAAGTGATCTTTGAGCAGCTAATAAATGGAGACACCCTCAATAAATGCTTCAGCACATGAAGACAAAAGTACAACTCGCTCAACGCTACAGATTAACTTATCTTAACCAACGGATAAGATTGATCAACCAGAGAAGCCTATAAATATAGGCAGAAACATGAGTTTCTAACCAAGCTTTGAGCATCCAAAGTAGAGAAAAACTCCCATTGAGCATATACGAGTTATCTAGCAAAAGAGAAAGTGATGGTCTAACTTTACTCTCTGCTTGGACTCATGCTTCACTAAACTTCCAAGTTACAAATCATCATTGCTATATTCTGGAAGTTTAGTTCCTAGTTGGAGGTTAGAAATCTCTTGAAACAAATCACAAACACAAATCACTTAGAAGGATTGTGTTATCAAGTCCTAAGTGTGGATAGATAGATAGATAGATAGATAGATAGATAGAGTACCTTTTGATCCCCACTGGATCAATTGAGAAAATTCTAAAAGGATTGAGTAACTTGGAGTGGTGTGTACTCCTTGTGAAACTCCTTCAATCTAGACCAGTTTGTTGTAAAGGCTAGATTGGCACTAAGTGTATTGGGTTTAATACTTTAGTGAAAATCCATCTGAAAATACTTTAGTGAATATCTAGAAAGGCTATATAGAAAGTTACCTTACACAAGAGGTCAAGACTTCCGTTGTGCATTTATAATCTCCCAAAAGATTATAGATCTTCCAATCTAAAAGGGAAAAGTTTTTAAAGTCAAAAAGGCTTTGAAAGTCTATTCGCCCCCCCTCTAGACTTTTACCTCTATCTGGGACCATCAAGGGGGTTTTGTCTACCGCTACGTCTGAAATTGTTTTTATTGAATCTGTCTTTTGGT